CATCTAGTAGAAGAAGATAGTGTGATTTCTTGTCCTGTAAATCATGAAAAAACACCTCCAGTACCTTCTCTTAATGTTTGCCATATTGTTTTTCAGGCTACAAGAAATTGGTCTCAGTGTAATTGTGTATAAATACTGCCCATTGGCCTCTCCTTATTAGTAGATGCTGACTAACATTACCAGGTAATAATTGGTTATACTGTATTAGGAGAATAACAGTTTATAACAATATTACTTGCAATAAATTTCATACTTTCTTTTCCTATTCAGTGAAGCAATTGTTTGGCTTTATGGCTACACAGACAGTTTTTCTTTCATAGCTAAGTTTATTTTGTCATAAGGCAATCAGGTGGTACAAAAGTATTAACAACTACAGGAAACCAACATCTAGCAAAGAAATTTGAAGATCGTGTTCACCCTGAATAAACAAGTGCCTTTAAAAAAATTCTTCCGAGACGCCCCCTTCTGCGCGGTCATGCCGAGCCAGCGCCTCAGCCTGGAAGCGGGCCGCAGACCCTTAGTTTCGCCCACCGCCTGACGACCATGGACCCCCGAAAAGTGAACGAGCTTCGGGCCTTTGTGAAGATGTGTAAGCAGGATCCAAGCGTTCTGCACACAGAAGAAATGCGCTTCCTGAGGGAGTGGGTGGAGAGTATGGGGGGTAAAATACTAAGTGCTACTCAGAAAGCTAAATCAGAAGAAAATACCAAGGAAGAAAAACCTGATAGTAAGAAGGTAGAGGAAGATTTAAAGGCAGACGAACCATCAAGTGAGGAAAGTGATCTAGAAATTGATAATGAAGGTGTGATTGAACCAGACACTGACACCCCTCAAGAAATGGGAGATGAAAATGCAGAGATAACAGAGGAGATGATAGATCAGGCAAATGATAAGAAAGTGGCTGCTATTGAAGCCCTAAATGATGGTGAATTGCAGAAAGCCATTGACTTATTCACAGATGCCATCAAGCTGAATCCTCGCTTGGCCATTTTGTATGCCAAGAGGGCCAGTGTCTTCGTCAAATTACAGAAGCCAAATGCTGCCATCCGAGACTGTGACAGAGCCATTGAAATAAATCCTGATTCAGCTCAGCCTTACAAGTGGCGAGGGAAAGCACACAGACTTCTGGGCCACTGGGAAGAAGCAGCCCATGATCTTGCCCTTGTCTGTAAACTGGATTATGATGAAGATGCGAGTGCAATGCTGAAAGAAGTTCAACCTAGGGCACAGAAAATTGCAGAACATCGGAGAAAGTATGAGCGAAAACGTGAAGAGCGAGAGATCAAAGAAAGAATAGAAAGAGTTAAGAAGGCTCGAGAAGAGCATGAGAGAGCCCAGAGGGAGGAAGAAGCCAGACGACAGACTCAATGAAATTCTTAGTGATCCAGAGGTTCTTGCAGCCATGCAGGATCCAGAAGTTATGGTGGCCTTCCAGGATGTGGCTCAGAACCCAGCAAATATGTCAAAATACCAGAGCAACCCAAAGGTTATGAATCTTATCAGCAAATTGTCAGCCAAATTTGGAGGTCAAGCATAATGACCTTCTGATAAATAAAGCCTTTGCTGAAGGAAAAGCAAACTAAATCACCTTATGGATGTCGCAATAATACAAACCAATGTACCTCTGACCTTCTCATCAAGAGAGCTGGGGTGCTTTGAAGATAATCCCTACTCCTCTCCCCCAAATGCAGCTGAAGCATTTTACAGTGGTTTGCCATTAGGGTATTCATTCAGATAATGTTTTCCTACTAGGAATTACAAACTTTAAACACTTTTTAACTTTAAAAATATTTAAAACAAATTTAAAGTGTCTGTTAATTGTTATGTTTTTCTTTACTACTCATTTTGGATTTTTTTTTCTTTGAATTATTGGGCAGGGAAGATACTGAATGTATAGAAGATTTTTGCTCTAATTTGAGTGAAATAAAAGTTTATTAGTGCGAGGCAAACATAAAAAAAAATTCTTCCAACTTTTAACGTCAAACAGAAATGTTGAAAAAGAAGTACCTTAAAGACACATGCACCCTTTATTTAGATTCACAAATTAACAATTTCTGGGATTGGCTTTGTGTGTCTCTGTGTCTCTTTTCCTCTTCACATACACACTCATTTTCTCTCTCTTACACACACGTACATATACATGCACACACTCACATTTTGGGGAGCTCTGAACTGCTTGAAAGCAAATTGCAGCCATCAAGATTATACAAAAATACTTAAGGGATTTTTTCCAAAATTAGCACATTCTTTTATATTACTACAGTAACAATCACAAGACATTTGCTACTGATAATTAATATTATGTAGTACACAGTCTAAATTTAAATATCTCCACTTGCTCTCAAATATTCTCTATATAGGTCAGGGATCTTATACTGGATTTTTTTTGTCATGTTTCTTATTTTCATCAGTCTAGAATATTGCTTCCCCTCCACCCTTTTCCCTCATCTTTTACAACTTTGACATTTTTGAAGAGTCCAGACTAAGTGTCTCATAGAATGTTTCTCAAACTGGATTCATCTAACTGTTCTGGATTAGACAAAATGTTTAGGCAAATATTATGTTTCCCATTGCGTTGCATTGGGAAGTTTATAATGTCAATGTATCTCAATATTTGTGAAGCTAAGTTTCATCTCTTCGATTTAAATTCTGTACTTAATAAACATTTGATGGATAATAGACATATACGAATGTGCTTTTCCTAACAATATGTTAGTGTATAGTGTTAGGAGTAATTTCATGCCAGAATCTCATGTTACCTTGGTGGTATTTGCAAAACGGTGATTTTAAAATTCAGGCATTTTTCTAGATGAGGGGCCAGTAGATTTTTCCAGTAAAGAGCCACATTCTAAGTCTTTTAGGCTTTGTGGGCCACATATAGTCTCTGTTACATATTCTATTTCTTCTTTAGCTGTGTAAAAATTATTAGCTCATGGACTACAGGAAAATGGTCTGCAGTAGGATTTGGGCCATGAGTAGTAGTTTGTCAAAGTCCTGTTCTGTGTCATAAAGGAGACCTTTCCATTTCCTTGTAACACCTGTGTGTGTGTGTGTGTGTGTGTGTGTGTGTGTGTGTCTGTGTGTGTGTGTATGTGTGTCAGAGGGAGAGAATGAGATTCTTTAATAACTTTATTTCTTTTATATAGTTGGTCTCTTTAAACTTTGTTTTTTAAATAAATACTCTTTGGATTTAACTTTGGTAAATAACACTGTCTTAAGATAATTTCAATTTCATTTTCTTCTATGCTTTCTGATACAATAGCCGCTAGCTGCA